CCCAAAAATGTTACCAGAAGGTAGAGAAGACAAACATTGATGGGATGTTTAATATGCACCAGGGACTTTCCCAGAAATTGTGTTTTTTATTCTCACAGTAATCCTTTGAGGTCCGTTTCATGATTTCTATTTTATTTTTTATGAGCAGTTTTATGGAGACTAATCAATTGTCCAAAGTCCCATTTTAAGTGGTTGAGTGGTGTCCAACCCTGGCTTCTCAGTCTCTGAAACACAGCACACCACTGCCTCTCTGCTGTGGTTCCATTAACTGGCCCTTCGGCCACACACACCAGCCCATTTACAGTTAGCTCACAGCATGGCTGCATCCAGCAACCACACACAAGAGGGAGAACCAAAACTCATCATAGAGCTATTGAATTTTCAAAAGAAAAGGAAGCTAGAGGGAAGGTAGGCGTTAGCTGGGGGAAAAAGCAGAAAAGTTTAAAAAGTCAATAACTCAGAGGAAGCAGCAGACTATTAAAAACACCTTATTCAAAGGCCATGATACATGCGAAGATGAGAAATGCCAAGCACTCAGAAAAGCTCCCATCAGCACGACTTCTGGGCTGAGTCCAAGGAGGCATTTCAGTAGAGAAAAGGCAACTTTGAAAAGTACAAAGATGGGTCAAGTGAGGATGCAGGACAACCAGGTCAAGTGGGAACAAGGACTTTGATGTCCAAATCAGAGTGAGCAGAAAATTACCAGCAAGACATTAATAAAATATCTTTCTCTTTTGCCCTCCATCCTCCCTGCTTTCCACAAAGAAGGATTGAGCACCTACTATGTGCTAGACTCAATGCTGGGAATGAAAAATATGTAGTTGTACAGCTATAACAGAGCCGTGTTCGAGGCTGTGAGGAACCTGGCACATGAGGGAGTGTGGTGGACAACACGATATTCCTCTGTGTGAAACAATTGTGTTTGTAGGCCAGAGTCTCTGGGTGGCATGTGGGTCTTCATGCCAGCCCTTCTCCAGGCTTTTGTCTCACCCCCATCTCCTGGGTGTTCTACTGGAGTTATTAGCTCCTTCCTAAGTGTACCAGGTACTTGCCTCTGAGCGGATGTGATGCTCTTCCTCTATGGGAGTCCTGTTCTTCCCACAGTGCTCCAGGCCTCAAGAGATCTGTTAAGACCATCTCCAAGAATCACTGTCAAGGCTGTTCAGTGCCATCCCTGGCATGTGGTGCCTGAATCAGTGGGAAAACTTAGTGTGGAAGCTTCTGAAGCTCTTGAGAATAGGAGGAAGCTTGCATGGACTGGAGATCCTTGTTGCATGAAGCCACAGAGAATTGATGAGGAACATGGGGGCTTGGAGATGTGCATTTGGGGCAATCTTCAGAGGGAGTGTCTTAGCTTGGGATCCCATGGAAGCAGCCTTGGCTGCAGACCGTTGGGCTGGGTGGTGGTCCCAGGAAGCATGAGTAGGGGCGTGGGGAGAGAGAGGGCAGGAGGAAAGCCAAGGCTTGTTATTGGGGTCCCTGCTGTGGGCAGTGGGGGTTTGACTCTCAAGACACTGTCACAGTGACTCCCAGAATTGCCCACCCAGACAGTCCAGAGGGCTGGCTCCACCTTAGCTGCTGCCAGAGTCATGTGTGGGCTGTGCGGGTACAATGAGAGCCCCACTGGCATTTGCCGCAGGGAGGGCCAGGGCCTACACAGAACACATTAGAGGCTGGGGCTGTGCAGCGGGTTGAGGGCACGTGTTGTTCTGTCCCTACTATCTGCCTCTCCTGTTCCTCATCCCTGCCCCTGCTTCTCTCCTTGCCTCCTCTTCTCTCCTTGCCTCCTCTTCTCTCCTTGCCTCCTCTTCTCTCCTTGCCTCCTCTTCTCTCCGTCTTTCTTACGTAACAGTTCCATCTCTGTATATGAGGGCCTTAGAATTTAGAGATACAGCCGTTGCTTAGTCAGACTTCCCACGTGGCTCAGAGTCTTTTCCGTAGCATCACAAACGGTATCTGAGACTTCCTGGAAAACCCTCCTCAGAAACACGTCTCTAAAAAAGAAAGCCCTCCCCTTGTTAGATCTGTTGGAAATTTCTTTCTCTGCACTGAGATCTATTGCTGAGGACTGTTACCCGTTGGTCCTAGCTTCATCTTTTTGAGCACAACAGAGCAGGTCTTCTTCATCATGTGGTTTAGGCCCTTTGTCTGCTATAGGCCTATGTTAGGCTTAATAAAATAACAAGACATAGACCCAACCTCATCCATACCCAAGTCACAGTGTGGATGAGGCATATGAACAGGTAATTGCAAGCAGTATGGGAAGTCCAACTCATCAGGATGGTGATGTGTGTGTGTCTGTAAAGAGAATGGAGGGAGGTACAAAGGTGAAGGGTGCAGAGAGTATCACAGAGGAGGGGAAATCCTTGCTGCCTTTTGGTTTGGCATCTGGACAAGCAGGGGTGTGTCGATTAGGGTGTTGTGCAATACGTGGGCCTGTATGAAAAGGCCCATGGGCTGTACATGGCATGGGGTTGTTTGGTCAACTTATGGTTCAATATTGTTGGAGCCCAAAGGAGTGAGGAGATAAATATGCAAGGGTGTATGCTTGGAAGCCATGGCCTCGGTGGTGCAGGGATAGTGGGAGAGATGATTCATGGCAAATCTTAGAGGACTTTATGTAGCATTTTCTCCCAATGGAGATGGGAGGGAAGCCATTGAAGGATTTTAAGCAGGAGAGTGACAGGATTAGATTTGGATTTTAAAGTGATTCTTGAGTCAATGTAGAGGATGGTTTGGAGAGTGTGTTAGTCAAGATACTGTTAGTAGAGGCACCAGTTAAAAATGAGTTTAACAATGAGAATGTCTATCCTCTCGTGTAACGAGATGCCCAGCAGCAGTGGTTCCAGGGCTGGGTCAGGTACATCTGTGCTGTTAAAGCCCCAGGATCCATCTCTTCCTTCATGGATCTCAGGCACCGATGTGGTCTTTCACTTGGCCTCTCATACTCTCCTAGCTGCTGGGTGGTTGCTCAGTTTCAAGCAGTGGACACAGCAATCCCCCACTGAAGAAGAGAGGCAGTACTTTCCTCGTTAGGGAAGAAAGCCATTCCCAGAAGCCCCTGGCACCCTTCTCCCCAGACCCCTTGGGCCAAGCCATCCCGTAGCTCTAGCTGTTAGGACGGCTGGAGCAGCATTCTGAGTGTCTGGTAGGAGGTAGTGTTGCCCTCAAGGAGGGACAGGTGTTGGGAATGGGTGGGTGGATGCCAACAGTGTGCACCCCAGAGCCGCACATAATAATAATAATTATTATTATTATTATTTGGTCTTCTCCACCGAGGCCAACTCGGGCCTCTACCAGTTTTTCATCTGACGTGGCTGCAAACCTTCACACACCCCATCCTCATCCTCAGGCACCCAGTTCTTAACATGCGATGCTTAAAGCAGACTCTAGATGTAGCTTATCCAGCGTGGAGCACGGCGGTCTCTCCAGCTCCTTCTCATTAATGCAGGCGAGCGCTGAGTGTGCGCGCTTGTTTGTTTTCAGTTGATTCCTGCTGTTAACCTGGGCTAAGCTTATGGCAAGCTCTGATTCTCACGTCTTTCTTTTTTTTTATGTGAACATATCTATTCCTGGCATATCACCCACATATTGAATTGTATCCCATGGTGAATTCCAGTATAAAGTGAAACATCATTTTCAAAGCAAAAAAATTTTGTAATATGTTGTTTCTACCTTTTTATTATAGCGTCCAGTATATTCTGCTATAGTTATTTATGCACGTGTAACACCCAACATGTAGGCGCAAAAACGAACTTTTGTGACTCAGGCAATTTGTAGGCCTTTTGAAATGTTTTTATTATAGGCACTAAAAAATAAAATACAACAAAAACTGCTGTTAGGCATGATGAAAATCAAGTCTGCAAAATGTAGGCACTGCCTGTGACCTAGGAGATCACTTGTTTTGCCCATTCTTTGGCTTTATAGGAATCACCCTGTTCTTCAAGGGGTGGACAGGTGTGATGGTCCTTCACTATTTCCCTCTGGCCTTAGAGGGTGACATACAGTTCTGTCTGATTCATGATCTCATCCAATCATTGTTCTTTGCAGTTTGATATTAACATCTTTAATGCTGGTACAAATTGTATGATTAAGGACCTTTCCCTATCAATTAACAAACTTATGTAAGACTGTTTCCACTAGGTCTGAAAATGATCCAAGCACCTGAATTATGGAACAGGCACCAAAAAATTTTAGTTTGTAGAATACAGGAAATCAGAATGTCTGTTTTGATCAATCTACCTCCTTATCCCCATTTTTTCCTTGCTGCTTCTGGAGAGAGCACATGCCTTCCTGAGAACCAGCGCTTCATGTTATCTTTTCCCTTCAGGCATTCCTTGCTCCACTTCTGTGCAGGACTGGCTTTAGGCAGAGTCGAATCACAGGGAACAGACTGACCAAATTGCCTCTGGCTGTCTCCCCCTGGCTTCTCCCATTTCTGCCTTATTATTGCCTGGTTCTGATTTCACCTCCCTGATACCCCACGTTCCAGCACTTTCCAAACCCCTGTCTGCTTGTCCCGCATCCCTTCACCCACCCCCGTGCTCCCGTCTGGTGAAGGGTTATGCTGAGCTGTTCCCTGAGCACTTGCCATACGTTCTGTGGCTTTTTCTGTGGCTGTGATTCTAAGACAGAGAAAACTCCTTTCCCTTCCTTCCCTAGGTTTCCTTCTCACTTAGGAAGCTCTGATAGTGTGCTTTCAAGAGGTGGCTCCTTTGTTCTTCACTCTGATAATGAAGCTTTTCTTACCTCTCAGGCTAATGCCGAGTTTGGCCCCGGGGAGTTAAGCTGTTGCTCGGTCTGTGGCTGACAGGTTCAGTGAAAACGTGTTGAATCCAGAGGCGTGAAGGGCCGGAATGGTGCCCGCAGAGATACAACGGGTCTGTGCCGCGCTGTGGACCGAAGGGCTTTATTTCCTTTTCTGCCCTGTAAGAGTTATGTTTCCAACTCTGTCACTGATATAAAAGGATATTTTATACATCTTGGTATTTGCTCCTTAGGTAATGAGTCTGACCTTGAACTAGAAAAGAAGTATAAGGAAGATGATCGAGAAAAGGCCCCGAAAAGACCACGGACGCAGAAAACAGAGAAAGTCCAGAAGATCTCCTCAGGGAAGGAGGCTGGGCAGCTCTCTGGGGTGAAGAAACCCATCATAAGTGTGGTTTTAACTGCACATGAAGCCATTCCAGGTGACTGCAGCGAGTGGGGAATGACCAGACAAGAATCTTGTGGCAAGTCTGTGCAAGTCAGAATACGGGTTCGAACCCTGTGGCTGGAGCAGTGATGGGCTCTCCACTTAATTACTTATTAATCTGGGTCTGTGACAGAGCTGCGAACTGCCAGGGCTGCTGCGGATCGTGGATGGGGAAAGGTAGTGAGGGCCACCGCTCCTGCTGCGACTGCTCCAGCCGTGGCCTGCTCTTGTTCCAGCAGCCCCCCAGGAGCGGTTTCTACTCGGGGACCACTTGCTTTCCAGCCCCTCTGCTGCCATCGCGTGCTGTCCTGCGTGTGAGGTTGGCCCCGTCGGCCCAGACACCGATGCAGGCTGCTTGTCTGAAACCCATGCTAACTTCTCTTTTGTGTTTTTACTGGGGTTCAGCAAATACTTTCCAGCTCCATTTTCTTTCACATGAAATAGCCAGTGGATATGTTATGCTATCTTTTTTAAAAAAGATCTCTTCTGGAACACTTCAGATAAAAAGCAATTTATGATAGTAAATTTTAAAGTATAATTTTTTTTCCCTTTCCATTTGAGGTGATAGCTATCAAATAAAATTAAAAAATCAAGTTTGGGATTTTAATAACAGCTATAGCCTTTTAAGTATCTATTTTCCATGCTTATTATTTAAAATAAAAACTTTGAATAAATTCCCCTTCTGTATCTCACTGCAGAGCAAGGTGATAGGTAGAGAACAGACCATATTAAATTATGTGACTAGAAGAATTTCTGGAAAGTCACTTTGCCTCACTCACTTCAGAACAGTATTATTCTGGAAAATAAAAATCCCAGAAGAGAGTTTCCTATTTGCAGTGGTCTCTAGAGAAAGTTTCCACAATTTTCTTAAAAATCAATGGTAGTGGCTGGGCACGGTGGCTCACGCCTGTAATCCTAGCACTCTGGGAGGCCGAGGCGGGTGGAT